AGGGGGGGGGGGCCACACAATGTAGGAAGAGTCAAGGGGATGGCGGCACGACTCGATGGAACTTTATCGTGACGGCTCCTTCAAATCGTAATGGCTGCACGCGCAGTTTACGGCGGAGGTCTATCTCGTAAATATGCATCTCCGATGACGTCACGATCGAAATGCACTTGGAGGATGCTGGATGCGGTTATAAACTTTTTAAATTCAGACACCGTTTACGGCGGGAACGGGGGAGAGTGGAACTTTATCGCGATCGCGAGACGCGCGAGGGTTGGCTATTTCAATTTTTCCCGTATCTGTAAATATATACCTTAGAGCAGACGCGGCAAATGGCGAAAAGGGGGGACACGGTCCGTGCGGTTCCCTCGAACTCGCTTCCGTGCATGCCGTCGTCGTCGTCCCGGATATTTCCCATTTATTCGGAATCTCTCGAATCTTCCCCTCACATCCTCACGCTGAACACCTCCGCGTCCATGATTCGGATTAATTCTAATTGGTCAATTATTCACAGAAGGTTATTTAAGATGATCGGGAAGAGAAATCTGGATATATTTTCACATAATAAAAGGGCAATATACGTCGTCAAGTTTTTAAAGTTTGAAAAAACTATGGAAGATTAAAAATAACATGTAAGAATATATAATAAATAGACAAAGTAATTTCAATGCATTTACTTGATTTCTTTATAATTTCCTCGCGTCGAACGTTACGTGTTAAGGTCGATAAAGATTAGACCATTGTAAGGAAGCGAAGACGAACACTTAGAGCGATCCGTTAAAGCTCGAAAGTACAGACAGTTAAATGTCAGAGCTGCTAGACCCCGCCTTACGTCGTTGCGCGCGGGCAAGGGGGTAGAAAGAGAGAGGGAGAACCGGTAGCAACATAACGCGCGGCGAAAATGGGTCCCTGGTTGCCGTGAAATGAGAAAGAATCGACTCCCGGATAGGTAGGGGAGGGTTTTTCACCCAGGGTGCAGTAAGCTATCCGTTGGTAAGGTGGTAAGGGCACGCCTTGGGGAGTACTTTCGAAGTGTCTGTTCCTCGAAGGAGAGAAGGAGAAAGAAAACAGCCGCCACACGCGCGAGTCCGCAGGGTGGAAGGAAGGAAGGAAGGATGGAAGGAAGGAAGGGTTGTCGGCCGGAGAGAGAAACCCATGAAACGCTTTTACGTCTTAGTAATTGAACTCTCCGCTATGTGTGCGCGGGAAAAGGAGAGGAAAGAAAGAAGCAGGTTGAACCGGCCGAAGGGTCGTGAATATCGTTGGCAAAAAATTTCCGAGCGCATAAGGGCTCACGTTTAAAGGCGACGAGGGTTGCGAGAGGCCATCGGCGAAATAAGAACTAAAGTTGGACCTGAAACACGAATAGGGGAAGGGCCGGGGAAGGGGATGAGAGGGTAGCCCTGAAACGAGGTCACCGTGAGCGTCACGTACGTAGCGGTACCAGGGAGCTTGTAAAGGCGCCCGAAGGACCGCGCTTGGGCGGCGCACCTTCGCGGCCGGGCACGTTGATGGTGCGCGGCATAGCAGAGTCGAGGTCGGCGCATGGATATACCGAAAAGTGGTAGAAGGTGGCTAAAGGCAGGGAACGTGTGTTCGGCCGCGAGACGTGCGCGGAATGCGTCGTGCCCGCCGCAAAACGCTCTGTCACGCGACTCTTTACCCGTGTATGCGCTGCTGTGAACCGGCCCGACACAGGCAAAATAGCGTTCGAGACTCCGTGTGCCTCCGTGGATGTAACGACACGGGGGTTTAGCCACGGAAACCAGTGCACGTCGTTTCGTGCACGGGGTGTATCGAGGGAGGAAGAAGGAGGAAGAAGGACGGAGGGATTTTTTGCCAGACAGTATTGTCAGAGCACCGGGAGAAATCCTACTACGGTTGCAGTAGGTCATTTTCGACCTTGAGCGTCTCTCCTTCTGGTCTCAACCCCGAAAAATAAAGCAGCAGCAATATTAATCATTGACATTACACCGTCGGAAAAAAAAGTGAATCACGTAAAAGCAATCAATTATTTTCCAACGTCTCGAATCAAGTAATATTTTTCTCAATTTAAGCGTCTCGCCGAGTCCCCCGACGCGAGAAGAAACGGGCGAGCGCGGATGGATCGGTGTTAATCGCGGTGTTTCAATCTTCGAACGTTAAACAACATCCGCGCCGCTCAAGGCGTCCCACAGCACCGGGCGCGGACGAGTCTCTTGTTATTATCTATTTACACCGGCGTCGGGCCTTAATTTTCGACGTCAAATAACCCGGTAATTAAGCCCAGCATCGCAACGGAGAAGACGTCAGTTTCTTCTCGAGCCCCCGTCCCGTCTCAGCGTCGAGCTCTGTAGTCACGGCGGCGAAAGCGCGCGACTTCCGATACACCCTATATAATATGTACCACGTAGTACCGGTAAACACGCGTATACGTGAGCGTGTATGGCTGTGCACCTGCACGTGTGTACACCCGCTCATGTATACCTATGTACACGAGCGTACCTGGCTATCTACTCACCGTGGGCAACGCCACTTCGCGTGATCCCGTGGGACCGGCGGCCGCCGCACCCTCTGTACACCCGTGCGCCGCCATCCTATACACACCGCTGTCGGATAAACCGCTTATTTTATTCATAAACCCACAACGCGGAATCAATATTGCACCGTCGCAACCCTGCACGCTCGAGGAGAGAGAGACGTCGTCAACGACGGCGACACGTCCGCCAGCACCACGACGACGTCGACCGGGGGAGGATCAGGGAATGCGGGCGGCGGACGTTTAACTCAACCCTCTCTCTTGCCCTCGAACTCGCTCGTTCTCTGGCCCCTGTTACCCTCGTGTTACCCTCGCGTTACCCTTCCGCGAGCTCTCGCTCCTCCCCCTTCGCCGCATCATCCCCCTGTCCGTCCCGAGGCTTCTGTCTGCGCCCGCCGTCTCTCTGTCGGACCTAACGCGGTGGAATGTAGGGTGAAATTAGTCCTTAGCCCCCGGTCTGATCCCGTGGAACGCGATGTCCATTCTGTGACAGGACGTATCCAACGGGCCGGCGGTATTTCGCGTGCTGAAGCGCAGGCATTGTCCGGCCGATATAAATGTCATCGAGTCGGGACGATCGCGACGTTCCGACGGGGAGTAGAAAGAGTAACCGCGCCCTCGGACGCTTTTTGCGGCCTGCCGGGGGAATTGATACGTCCGCGGGGAGGGAGGCGGACACGCCGTCGACGAATTCTCGCGTTGACGCGATATCGAGATCCGCGAAAAACCGCTGGAGTAGCCGTCCGTCCGTCCGTCCACCGAGAGTGGTGTATCCGCGACAATTTGTCAATAACGCCGGCCGCTTTTGCGTATGTATATATATTTGAGACCGCGCGCTCGCTCTCGAACTGTGCAGCTCGGAAATCCTTATCCCGCGATGTGAAGCTCTCGCTATCGCACACACGCGTGCCTCTTTCTCACGTCGCGTATCGGAGTCGTGCACATTCGACCTGGAGACTGGCGATCGATTCGGTATTTGTAAAATGTTTTACCGCGTGCCAAACGTTTTCTTGAATGGAATATCACCGGGAAGAAATTTCCACAACACGCACGAAGAGTCGGAGCAGATAGATTTCCGAGTAGAGAATTCACACTGGGCGAGCGAGAGAAATCGCTGGAATTTTTCCCGCGCACGCGACTGCCCTCGGTATCGACAGGCCCGGGGTTAATGCAACGGCGGTGCGAAAGAGAGCTAATGAGACACACGCGGGTCTCTGGTAAAGCTCAAACAGCGTGTCCGCCGCGCCGGGCTGAAAACTGAAATTGTCCCGTACTTGAACCGGCGCTTCTGTGCTTTCAGGTAATACCCGGTAACACGAACACGTATTTGGAGTCCAAGCACGAGCTGGAGCCGCCTCTGTGGGCGAGCAAGATCCGTTTTCTGCCCTACAGCTATCACAGGCGGACGGTTTGCATGCGGGTCGAGCTCTACGGGTGTTACTGGAGCGGTAAGCTGTTTGCACTCGCCAATTTTCGTGAAACTTCCCGCGGACCGGTACACCCGCCGGACTGTCCATTAACCCTGATACCAGCGCGGCCAGAGCAAATTTGCTTTTCAAAATCTTGCTCGTATAATTCCGTTTTCGCCCGGGAATCGAATTAGCCACGGGCGCCGAATAAGGGGAGCCCGCTCGCTCGCCCTCTCCTTCTCCCTCCCAATGCCGGAAATCGGATGAATCATTAGCACCCGAATGGTTAGATCGGTACAACGCGCGAAAACGCTCGCGTAAGCTCGCGCGCGCAGACTTTGGGGAAAATCGCAGCGCAGCGCGGGAGACGCGGGAAAAAGGAGAGGAGCGAGATTTTCAATCTGCTCGTGCGAGAGCGACGACGGCGCTTCAAATACCCGCGTGTATGTGATCTTCCGGATTAGACGTGAAATATTAATACGGTCAATGTAACTAATTTCGCAACTCGTGCGCCTCCCCGTCGCTTTCTCGCGAATTGATGAAAATCCAGCGACGCGCGTATACTCACTCTCCCCGAACGCAAACGTTAAAACTTTTATTAGAAGACACCGTCTCGACGTGAAACTTATATCACGCCACTTTTGCGATCTTTGTACATCTCGCACGTCCGTGGAGAAGTAGTCGGCAGCGCGGCGCGTTGTAACTCGCCCGTGCGAACAAGCCGACGACGGTCCGACGGTCGAACGAGGATGAGGGAGGGATCGAAGGGTCAACATAGTGTCTCGACTTCTCTCCCTTGGCCGCAGACGGCGTGGTGTCCTACTCGATGCCCCAGGGCGATAAAAGGGGCAACGGATGGGAATTCTTCGACGCGACCTACGACGGACACTGGGACGGCGAGTTGCGCCGTGGCCTGGGTCAGCTGACGGACGGCAGAACGGGGCCCGACAACTTCAAAATGGGATACTACGATAACGATCGCTCCACCCAGGGCTGGATAGGCTGGCGGAATGACACCCGCAACCAGCCGGTCGAGATCAAGTTCGAGTTCGACAAAGTGCGGGAATTCTCCGCCGTCCACATCTACAGCAACAACCAGTTCACCAAAGACGTTCAGGTCGGTAGCGTTCAGATTTACGTTGTAACTCTTGTCTCTCGGAGGGGGACGGCGAAAATTCGCGTTGCCGATTCGCGGGGAGGTGAGAGAGCTTGTTGGGTTTCCGTCGAAGCGGCGGGAGGACGCGGTGCACTCCGCTTCTTCAAGCCTCTCCGTCGAGTTGATCGTTCCGCTCGCGATTTCCGTCGCACGACGCGCATCTCGAGAAGAATCCACGTGATCAGAGAGGAGCACGCGATGCGCCGCTATATCGAATTACTTCTCCAAGCCGAGGAGAGATCCCTCGCGAACTCGTTGACGCCTTGAGGAATCGTTTACCTTCGCTTTAGCGACGTTATTCCTTAGTCCTCGCCAGGAATGCGCAAGCAGCGTCGATCAACACTCGCTCGCCATCCACGGTTCCTCGTGATCCTCCTCCACCTTTTACCGTCGGCCTCTCTATCTCTCTCTCTCTTGCCTGGTCGTCGCACGACGGCATCTGGTCGGCGGAAGATGCAACCCCTCTCTCTCTCCTTGCCTCTCTTCCTCCCACCCGCCTCTCCCTCCCCCCTTTCTCGCTACTACCACGCTTGATTGAATATTCCACTCGACGCTTTATCAGGCAGACGCCCGTTGAATATCAATACACCGTGGAACGGCAATTCCGGCAGTTTGATATCTGCCACCGCGGTCTCGCTTGCGATGATCGCGTTGAGTCGGCTATTAGCCGCGTTATTTCGCGAGGAATCCGGCGAATCTCAATGGGGAATTCATGCACACGTTACAGAGCGACATACGTCGCCCGGTTGGAATTCAAACGCTGAAAACGTTGATATCAGCGGCGCGCGCGACGGTTTTGACGTAATGATTATTGCGATTTTATTGGGCCGTTCGACGGGACGCTACGAACGGCGGAAAATGATTCCCGATTTCCCACGCGCGGTGTCAGCCGCGATTTTTCCGTTCGTCGAATTATTATCAGAGGAAGAACACCGAAGCCGACATACCGTTTTGTTTTCGGGCTCTGAAGCCCCGTTGGAGATATAAAATCAACATTTAAGTGAATAATTGAAACAATCACTTTACTGTCAAGTGATTTGAAAAGTTCAAGACCGACACTGTAAACTAGCATTGTGAAATAAACTACACTTAACGCTAGTTTGTTAGTTGAATTTTCATCAGAAAATAGCTCGACAAGAACTTCAGCACGACGAAAAATCAAACGACGCTAATAACACAACCGAGCGCGCTTGCAAACAGAAACTGCCCCACTTTGGCTGCAACTTCTGTACACAGTAGATGAAGTTCATGTTTTGTCCGACAAAGTTCAATACTTTACAGTCGAGAAACATAACAGTTTATCATACCTATGTCAGTTTTGATGTTTTTTTTCGACTATTTTTTCCGTTCTTTTTTTTCTGACCCCGAATAGGCGCGAGAAATATTTTCGGCTTCGCGTCTTTCGAGTTTTCTTGGATCACCTCTAAAGCCTCTCCGCTCTCCTTCATTAGAATTCCTCAAATAATTAGGGCACCGCGTGAGGATTCCTGATTGATGAAACACCGTTTCACAGTCCGCCGTTAAGGAAGAAACGAGAAGGAGTGAGAGAGCGTACACTTAGAACTTAAAAAGAGATAGATATACAGTTAAGATTTGGTGGAAGAAAGACCAGTTATGTCCTGTTCCCACTTGAGGAACTCTATCCTTCACGAGTCATTAGCGCGCTGGCAATTTCGCGTTTGCGCGAAATCGCAATAAGTTGGCGGTCGGTTACGAATATCAGTGTAACTGTCATGATCGAGGATAGATGCGCGGAATTCTCGGCAACGAGATCTCAACAACGGCTCGTCGGCGAGGTCGGCCTTGATAGCCCGCGACGTAAAACCCCCCCGTCCATCCTCTCCGCCTTCGTGTTTCGTAATTTCAACTTTTGCTCGCGAAACTTAACGAGGGAAGCGACGGAAAATTCGAGCGGGAGAGATACTTGATGGAGGAAAAACAATTCCCGGACGTTCCTTGAAAGAGAGAGAGAGAGAGAGAGAGAGAGGCAGGTAGCGAAACTTTTCGTATCATTCGCCATATCCGTGATTCAGCGCGCGCGCAAATCGCACAGTCGCGGAAATGAGTTCGCGGGCGCGATGCCCCGCCAAGTGGATTCCTCGCGCTCACGAGGAGTTATAATTCGATCCGTCGTTGTAATTTCCGTTCGGCCACAAATCGTGACCTCCCGCGCCCCCCCCCCCCCCCCCCCCCC